GAGCAGCACGCAATTCCACTTTCAACGCCAGATAACTGCAGCCAATTGCAAGCCAAGAGTCGGAAGTGGAACTTTGGAGTTGGAATTGGTACATGCTTAATTTCAGGTGATGCTGTTAGCTTCCCTGGTATTGTTTGCACCTTCTGAAATGCTACAGCTAGCATGTTCGGATAGAATTCTAAGCAATCCTAGAGAATTCTTAGAATTCTAAAAATTCATACGGAATCCGTAGAACTCAGGATTCTTGGATTCCGTTCTTTCTCCTTTGTAGATATCACTAGAAATAGCCAGGAAACGGATAACTGATTAGAAATTAAGAAATAAGTTTGTTCCAAGTTGTAAATAATATAAACTTATTTCTGATGATTTCCAGTGATTTCTGATGTTAGAAATCAGTTTGTTTCTCCTTGAATCAGATTCACATTTTCAAGTCACGATTTCAATTTCAAATTTACAAAGGTTTTTTCCTTTGACGACATTTATCGACGATGCAACTTGATTCTTTGATCCATCGATCGATCAGGATGTGGACGGGCCTCTTCTCAACACCGACATCTACATTCTCTAGACAATCACACCCCCCCCCCTCCTCCCTGTCTCCCAACAACTACGTCCACACTACGCACATCCCTATTAAATCGACTTAGACCCTCGGCTACGCACTACCACACTCAGACCCACACGAAGTCATTTCCACTCACACCTAATGAAATGTTTCGAATCTCGGTTCAGTTTTTTCATAAGATATTCTCTGCACGGTCTACTTCTCTTCATCGTGTCGCGAGAATTGATCTGCTATTATATACAAGTCAAAATAAGTAATCTTGTCTCCACCTACCTTGCATTATTCAAACGAAGCAAAACTCTGCATGCAGCTGCTGTAAATAAGCCAGTAACAGAATGATAACTAATTTAAGTGAGAAAAAGAGCAGATGGCGAGAATAAAACATTGTTAGCAATTGTCCACTTTCACATATTTTGATCACACTAGAAATGATGATGGTACGACACATTGTATTCCTTGTTCTCAGGTAACTGGAACATGTTTCTCTTTGGCTCATCGTGCTATTTTGAACAATTTCTCTTTTCAGCATCACAGGTATAATCGCAATATTTTGTGAAGATTTGAAAGGACTCATTTTATTTACGATTAGCGTGTAACACATCGCAACCATGCTATAACGTGTCTCAATATGATTGGTGCTCGACGAACCAGGCTTGCAGATGTTTACATTTTGTACCTTCTTTCAGTTCTGGTATTTGTGTGTCCTTGGATGCCCATTGTTCTCAGCTGGTGTCGTGTGAAGCTTCGAACAATGCATGTTATCAGCCAGCTCATATATGTCTGAATCATCCAGATTGTCATAATCGTCCTCTTTGTTATCCATTGTCGATGGCCACACAAGAAATATGTCCACCCATACTATACCCAATAAGTAAAATACGAAATCAACTAGTTGAAGAATAGAATATAGAGTAGTTTGCAAAAAACTTGGAACAGTCTTACATTATGAACACTTAATATTTTCTAGATCCTCTTGCACGCTTGCTTTGTAGTTATTGCAGATTTATACTAGGCAGCTTACTCGTTAAAACTTCATATATTTGATCAAGTTCTATTGTATCATGGTATAATAATAACCTGATATAACAAAGATACACCGTCTCGAATCACATCATATTGCTGTATTTTATTAGAACATGAGAATTCGCTATGTCTGAAAAATCCGCCGATATATAAAGATACTACTGTCTAGAATTAGTTACTGATTTAAAAAGGTCAGAACTCGAAGCTTTCTAAAATATCGAGCAGTCAATGGTTGGAAATGTGTTATTGATGTCCAATACAACCGAAAATAAGATCAATTTATTCGACGAAATAATCAAGTGATATTGAAAGAATTTGTTGAAAACTGACGTGAACAATGTGAATTGATTGTTTACACCAGCAAAATTGCACGCCTTTTAAATTTTCTTAAATATTAATACTGAAAAATTCATAATCAATTTGATTAACAACATAGAAAGCAGGTGTCTCTTGATTGTAGAACCAAAAGAAGAACGATTCAAATATTGAATTAGATATTCTAAGACTGTAAACTGATATATTTTAAATGAATAACTATATTTTTGAAAGCAGTTGAACTAGCTCCTAATACAGACTAAAGATTTGTTCCAAGTTTTTTTGCAAACCACTGTATCTTGAAATAAAAATTATTATTTTACACCGGTGTCACATATCCTGGAGTTTGGAGAAGTGAGCACTTCTCCAAAATCTTGGATATGTGACACCACTCTTATTTTAACAGCAGCTAGACAAAATATAATGGGCAATATCAGAAAGAAAGACTATCGGAATGACAGGATTTACTTTTGCAGAAAAGCTGTAAAAGTAAATTCTGTATAGACTAACTTTATGTTGGAAAATACTGATATTGTGCAATTACATTTTTAGTACTATTATAGAGTGACGATAACATAACCATACGAATGTTTTTTTCGTTCTTCATATAACATACATATAGGCTGCTTATAACATGCGAACTAATGTATTTTACTATACGATGACGTAATTCTACATTCGTTCTATTGTTTCCCATCTATATCGATATAGGTGAAAAAGTTAGTCTATGCAGAATTTACTTTTGCAGTTTTTCTGCAAAGTAAATTTTGTCATTTCGATAGCCTTTCTTTCTGATATTGTCCATTATACTTTGTCTAGCTGCTGTTAAAATAAAAATTTTTATTTCATTTGAAATTCGTTCATTCACCCACTGTATCTTGAGATATGGTGCAGTATCATTTCTTATATATACGCGATCATAGAAAATTTTTTGAAGATGTCTTTTTTTTCTTTTATGCTTATCATATTAAGTATCTGTTGCTTATTTATTTGAGGGTGAAGTTATTGGATTTTCATTTCGAAATGAATAAGCTTTACTTAGTTTTGAATATTCTATAATCACAAAAGGAAAAACATAATACAGGATTACATATATTAAAGTTCAACATTGCTCGTCGAAAAACAAGTCCAATAGTGATAGAAAAGAAATTGAACTATGTCTTTTATTCTCATAATCTCACATATGAATAAACCATGGTAACCGAGTAGAATCTATAGAATTAGATAATGGTCTGCTTGCTCCGTTTGATAGTGTTAAGATACTTTTAGATTTATTGTTATGATGGAAAAATCTTCGAGTTTTAGTCTGCATTCACTGATTTTCCTTTGACTAGACGAATAAATGAATTATCCGTCAAAGTTGACAATATTTTCTTTCATTTTTTCTCCCCTGGTACAACACATATTAGAGGTAACATTGCATTATCAGAGAAGAAAAAATAAACAATATGAATTTTATGATTAAGACATTGAAATTAAAAAATTGCGTCGTTATGAGTTTCTTCATGTTCGATCTAAGATGGCAGTGTGCTTTGAGTTGTCATTATTGATTACCTCTTTAGAATACTTCAGTATATCGAGTATGAGAAGTTTGAAAAAGTATATTTTTTGATGACTCAATCGTTTATTTACCAACTGAAATCTACATCCATTCGTTTCTTTTGAGTTCAATTCTACTTTGTTCATCTTCGTTTTATTTTTGTTAATTGACTCATTTTTTTGGGTATTTTTCTCTTTCATTGACAGTACGTAGTGACTGATGTTTGCTTTATCGTATTTGGTATGCATGCATTGTTTGACATATTTTTTGGCGATTGATTACATCGTTTTTTTTGGATAATCAGTTCAGAATTAATATAGTTGGTAGATCGGCTATCGGAGATAAATGACTTTAGTTGAGTTCGTCTTTAAATTTTTAGTGATTTCATTGAAATCGCTGATATATGTTAAGTGTGTGAATGCTTTTTTTTCTTTTTTCTATTCACGTCAGCAGAGGTGTCGAAGAAGCGAATAGTTATTGTTGGATATCACAAATAAGTTTCAATTATATATTTCAAAAGGTTCGGGCATATTTTGATTTTGCTTTTCCATTTTTCGAATATCGTAAGTTGAACAAAAAAGATTTATTTTTAAATGTAACATCTAAGTTGTTATTGAAAATTTATTTCAATTCGTTGATATCTTTGTTAAGAATGTATTTTATTCATGAAATTGTTTAAAAAGTTCTATCAAAATTCACTTTTTCATTAGAAATATTTTATAAGTTAAACATGTAAAAAAAAGAATCATATTTAAATTTATTTTAAAATTAGACTCCGTAAGAATACATTAAAGGGTATGGGTCACTGTTGGAGTTAAAACTGGTAGAGTTATAAGCGATCAACTTTTAGATCGAAAAGTCATTTCAGTTATAACTATCAATCATAGTCATAAGTATCAACTACACTTATAATCATCAATTTTTCTAATTATGTGAACATTAATTACATTTGTATCTTTTCAATTTGAGTTAGCGAGTGTAGTAAAGCTAAATTCTGAACCAGCACGAAGAAGAGTAAATGAATACAAGCATTCAGCAACACTCGACCATCTAGTAGTAACAATTGTATCTAGAGTTTCTTTTGTAGTTTTTATTCATTCAGCTTCTTTCTTGAGTTTCGCTTTAAAAGCATATGAACGGATGGAAAAAGGCGTGATTGTTGTTACTTTGCTAATGACATTTCTGGCATGCACATGCTGGATTACATCACCTAAACAGAAAAAAGTATTAGCATTTCCAGTATTATGTAATTGATAGGAAAAAATCTTCATAAAAAAAAGTAGCAATAGAGTCCAGAACAAAATATTTTATTTTTGTACTTAAGAATCTCAATCAACTACGAGCATCTTTAAATAAACGAAGGTGTAATATTGAAGATTGACCTACCAAACGTTCACGATTTCAGTTTCTTTTTCAGAAAAATAATAGCACAATTTAACTTTAATATTAATAAAAATCCAAATCATTTAAAGAAAATGGTTCTTTTCATTTTTTTCTGATAGTTAGAATTATTCAAATCTTCTACAACAATATCACATAAAATTCTTACCAGTCATCAAATTAATAGCATGAGAAAAACATCGAAGTTCAAGAATGTGTTGATTTCCCGGTTTAGAAACAGACATTTCATGCATTTTGTGCATTGCATTGGGATTATCTGTAACAATTGCAGGTATTTTCGATATAATATTAACATTTAAAGAAGCTTTAGCTAGAACAGATTCAAGTCTATAGACTAAAAATTCGGTAGTGTGACTATAATTACTAATGTTTATAACAGATAGAACGATAGGCTTACGACTATCTGTAATGATTTTGTATTCATACAGAGACCGGCAGCATCGATCACTCCACCCATCAATATTTACTGGAAGATGGGCAGCTTCTGCCAATAATGATTCATTTTTATCTTCCAGATAAAGTACTTCTTGTGTTAATATTTCATGTGCTAATTTTTTTCGACTTGGTACATCATAAGATGAATTCAGTTTTTTAACAAATTGAAGAAAAAAAATCATTATCGACTGTGCGAAATGAAATACCATTCATAATAATAGCACGTAGTAAATAACGATCAATAGTTTGTTGTTCACCATAAGAAATGATTCTGGATGTAAACCTATCCATTGTATATTGTTTACCCGCACATGAATCATTCGATACTGCATAAACCTGAAAAAGTTCATAGAATGAAATCAAACAACAATTAAAATATTATACCTCTATGTCCCACTTTTTAGTTCTTGCTGATGATGGTTGTTATTGTTCCAAATCACGCATTTTCATAATAATGCCTTTGCGTGCATGTGGATTATCAGTAACAATTTCATCACAGTGGTGTGCAATGTGAGAATACATCATATTAAGTTTTCTAAAATTTAAGCACAACAAACAATATTTACATTGTGCTTTTCAATGATCTGGTCTTTTTGCAGGACCCATATCATTGAAATACGACCAAATAAAATCACGATGACGACCGCCTTGTTTTGATGATTCAATTTGAATTGCAGAACGAGAATTAAAAGTAACTGTACTTGAGGTAGTCTGTGAATAAGTAGGCGACAGCGAGCTTATCACACGATCAGACTTTATATTAAGCAAAATTATATAACAATTATATAGCAACACAAACTCCTATATAGAATGAACTACCCAGAAAATACAATGAAGAACAAATGAAATGAATTGTATCCTATTCATCTTTCCTTTTCTTCGCTCGATCGTCTACGGCGCGAAAGAAAAATGATCGTATTTTCTAGATCATTTATTTTGCTCTCTGTCTTTCTTTTCTTCCATCACCTTATTCAGTATTGTTTTAAACAAATTTGAGCGACGCAATAGACTGAATGATGAAGGAAACAAGGCATTTCTTATCATCAACTACACTCTCCCACATACGTAGTGTTATATTATGACTAGAAAATGTAAGAGTGATGCGTATACTAAATAAAAACCGATAATAGTGGATACATTTCACATATATATATATATATCATAGAAAAAAAAACTGCATTTCGAATCACAGAAAAAATAAAAATGGAAAAAACAGAGCGTTACTTATGTTCGTTCTAGAAATCGAAGAGTGACATTCGAGTGTTTACACATACTTTCAATTAGTTTTGAAATCAAAAAGTATAGACGATCAGTTACTGACTTTGAAAAGCTGGATAACTTGTTTGCAATTTTTGTCTCTTGTTGTAAGAATAGTTGATTTATATAATCAGTGTCCATAGTTTCATGTATTTCAAATATAAATTAGTTTTTATTACTAAAATCAAGTTTTCGAAAAATAGTTTCAGTCGAATTTATTCAACATAAGAATGGAAGCAAAAACATAGAAAAGAACTATTGAATAAGCTTTCACAAGATCAGACAAAGACAAAGCTCCTAGATCTAGATATTCTCGTATCTTACACATGTCTCCATACATAGCTAATGTTTTTTCGACTTTATGCACTCAGTTACAAAGTTTATGAGCCTATTATTTGAAAATATTTGATAGATATAACTTCAGTTGATAGTTATAACTACGGTTGATAGTTATAGCTGCCGTTGTAGCCATTTTAACTTTTGCCGATTTTCTCAACTTTTAACTTTTTAAAAGTTAGTTTTAACTCCAACAGTGGTGTGGGTGTCGGTGAGGGTGTGTGGGTGGGCGTGAGTGTGGTTGAGGTGGGCGTGGATGTGGGTGTGGGGGTGGTTGGAGTGGGCGTGGATGTGAGTGTGAGTGTCGGTGCGTAGGTGTGTGGATCTGGGTGTGAGCTGGCGTGAGTGCCGGTGTGTGGATGTGGATGTTAGTCGTCTATTCGCCCATAGACACGCCCACAACCACACCCTTAGAAAACTCATTGACATTAGACTCGGTATATGAACTCAAAAAAGATTTTTTTTCAGCAAACGTAACAAGCGCACATTTTTACGTGTAAAAACGCGTTTTTTTATTGATTTTGTCTGACTGGGAAAGAAATCGTTATCTGATCTGAAATTACCGTTTGTCTTATAAAAGGTTCGAAATCGGTCAATTGCTAGTGATCCGACCCGACCCGATCATGCCGTGACCCGACCTGACCCGACCCGAGTCGGACACTGGTCCGTAATACCCGTCATGTCTAGTCTAACATGTCTTACACATTTATCATGATAATCATTTTTAAAAGAAATGTCTTGTAACCAAGTATCGACTAGTTCAGAAAGTCCGTTAGTCCCGTCATGTCTAGCTCGTTTTGTCCATCTACCCCATTCAGACTAGTTCGTAGAACAGAAAAATGATAAAAAAAGAAGACGAAAAGTGGATTAGAGCATTCAACCCGACAGTATTTAATAGCTGATGAGTGTCCTGACGGCAGACCATGACTTAGGGAGACGCTGACGTCAGTTTAAACATTTCGAGTACCAGAGTGACGCACGTCCATCTGTTAGACGAGTTGAAACCCGTCGGAGACGAGTGACTTGACTAGTGTGAAATGTCTTCAATGATGGTCAGTACTAGTCTGAAGTGTCATTTATGCACGTCAAGACTAGTCCGTTCTTTTTAGAATGCTATGCTAATTCTTGTTCACACTAGTCTAAAAACTCCAGGTAGCTTATTTGGTTTGGACTAAACTGTCCTACTACTTCGTTGAAACTGATTCATAATGGAAAGTAAAAGAAGTAGAATGCAAGGCAATGAATTTTTCAATATTTCTATGATAGTTAAAAACAGCCGATGAGTAATCAGACGCATTCAGAATATGGACCAGTTATGAGAATAAGAGACATTTCGCTGCCAATCCTCTATTAAGAACTTCATGATTGTTAGTAAAGTATGATTTGTTATATTAAGATTACGAAAAAATAATCGCAATTATTAAATTTTTATTAATTTATATGTAGACTGTCACCTACGTTATTGATTTCTTTTATAATTAAAGTGGCGATTAGAGTGTCTTCCAAAACCATTACTGAAGTGAAGGATTGGCTGAATATTATGTGCCTCCGTATTTTAATATAACTCATCATTTCTTATAGTTTCGTATGTAAAAAATGTAAAAGTATATCGAAACATAAAATAGTAGAAATAAATACAATATACAATGTTTATCTCGTAGTGAGAAGTTTCAATTTATGTGGTTAAAAATTTATTAAATGTGCAAAATAAATTAAAATTAATTTAATTTGAAGATAGTTTAAATATTTTGTACCACAATTCTATTTTATTTTATTTTATTTAAAATATAAATTCTGATGATTAAATTTGAGAATGTATTTAAACGACACAAATTTAGTTTATTTTTAAGTTTACAATGTGCAATTTCAATTAAAAGTTAAAATTAATTTCAAAAAGTTTAGTTTCTGTAAACTATAAATAATTTTTAATTTTGTTTTTGGCATTTAAGACTTTTTTCAATATAACTAACTACTTTTCTTTGATGATAATTAGAAGAAATTTCTCTAAAAAAAAACCAGGTCGAAAAGTACGGACAGGTTCGCGCAGGAAAACATCGGAAATAGACGGAGCATGGAAGCAGTATTCGGATCGGAAATTTTTCGGACTTTTTTCCAGTGAATTCCAGCCAATTCCTGCAGTATCCGGTGATCGGAACGATCGACCTGGGATTTAAAAAATTAAAAATTATTTTGTTCAACATTGTCTAAATAATGTCATATTCGCTAATAGACATGTTTTTATTAAAATGATAGCTTGAAAAACTTTAAATAAAATTGTATTACATAGCATCTTAGAGTGATCATGTACATGTAGAAGTTGATCTCTTGATCGTATGGTTCGATTGTCTAAACGATGGTAAGTAACATATTATATACATGTTCGAATCTAATCTTCATCCTTACATATTTGAATTTAGACTTGTCCGAACTCACCCACTACATAAGACTACAACTCATTCCATGCACTGTCCGTGACCTCCTTACTTTTTCAATTTTAAATAGGTTCCGGATGGGAGTCATGTCGTCCCGTCCTGACTAGTATTTGTCTCAAAAAGTCCTCAACCAGGACTAGTCCGAATGTTAAAAATGCAGTTTCCTCTCGAGTGACAAATTTGTAGTCCTGGACGGATCACTTTTGACCAAAGGACTAGTCTTATTATGTCTCTAACGCCCGTCAACGACACGTTAGGACCGATATGCGTGACGAGTCGAAGTTCAGACTAGTCATGTAGAGACGTTTTTGAGACAACGACTAGCCGGGACAGGGTGACAAGACTAGAAAAAGACTATACATTTAACCCGTCTTTTGCTCACTTGGGGTTTTTCTATTTTTCGACTACATATATCAAGTTGAACACATAGAAAAGATATATTTTTTCAATGTAACATCTAAGTGATTATTGGAAATGTATTGTATTCAATTGATATCTTCGTTAAATGTGTACAATCTTAATCGAGGAATATTCCCATAATTTTATCAAAATTTCTCTTTTTCTTTGTGATACTTTTTCCTTAGATATATTTTTTATCTGAATGGTTTCACAGCAAACAACTAGAACACAAGCTATTTTAACATTAAGACCAATGAGAAGACAACCAGAAAAATAACAGAAATTCCCATTTTGTTTTCCAACAAGACACGTTTTTAAAAACTTGTGTAAGTTTAATATACCCATTTTTATACGTTAGTACCAATGTTACAGATAAAAATTTTTGCTTTTTGTTTATGCAATTACGAAAGTTCGAGAAAATACTACTTAAATGAGTTTCGTAAAGGTAGAATCATTTTTATCATCTATCTTTGGATGTTATTCAACGTTGTCTTTTTTCAATTGAAGATTTTCTTTGAAAGTAGGAGAATCAAAAATCTTATTCCTGAGATTTAGGGTAATTTGAAGTATATTTTACATCACTTCGTAGAAGAATTCATCTAAATTTTAGCTCAAGCAACTCGCATTAACACACTATGATTGTTCCCTATCAAGCAATATAGTTCATTGAAAATCTGAACTTATAACAGAAATCTTGAAAATAAAAAATGTATATGTTGATGTATTTTTACGATTTTATTTTCGTTCGAAATACCGAAGCGTTTTTATCAAATCCTCTTTATTCGTTGCCGAAGACGAGTGTTGACATTCTATCCTTTTGAATTTTTTTGTCCCGACTCTCAAAAATTATAGAAATTGTTTCCCACAAAACTTCCATCTCTCTCAAAAGCCGAGTATACCTTTGCGTAAGTAGCTGCATTCACAACTACACCGAAACCAATAACCAAAACCCACCTTCCTACCATCAGCATCTGAGCTCGTTCCTTTCACGTCCCAGATGGTGAACGTATCATAAACCAGCTAACACAATCAGCATCTCATGATGGTCACCCAATATCCCAGCTGGCACCTTTAGCATCCTACATGATTCCTTTTGTGAACCAACTGCCACTCCTACCCTGACAGCTGACTTCAAGGGCATCAAGTAGACCTCTCGAGCTACATCAAGCCTCGCGCTACCGTGATAATATTTCTAGTGTCCTAGATAACACCTTCACTAACATTGCACTGGTCTATAAAACTGGAGCCGCTATGACTGAACGGTTAAGATGTTCGACACATATCCACAAGATAGTATGTTCGAACCTCGACGCTAGCAGATATAGAATGACCTTGGACAAGTTACTAACGGCTGTTTGTCTCGGACCACCCATCCGATAGCACACTGACTACATGTGACATACATAAAAAGCCCTTGTGACTAGTATGTGGTTAGTCAGTATGCATGGGGAGCTTAAGTGATTAAGCGAGAGGAATTCTGAGTCAGGCTGGTCTTCTGTCGAGAGCTGCAGCTAGTATTAGTTGGAGGAAAAACATCGGACTTTCAAAACTGTCCTTGAACAGCACCTATACTGAAAGGTAGCCGAAAGGCAAGGGTATTCTTCTTCTTCTTCTATAAAACTGCGGATGATTCTTCTAGCATCCGACACAATCTCTGCAGAGTTCCAGATCAAGCTTCTAGCATACGTGATAATGCCTCTAGCATCCCAGACAGCGATTTTAGCACTACAGGTTATCCTTCTAGAATCTCATATTATGCTTGTAGCTTCGCAAATATCATCTATAACATCTCAGTTACTTACTCCAGTATATATCTTCTAGCCTTCCAGATATTGCATCTTCGATCCCTGTTATGACTTTCAGCATTCCAGATGTTTGGTCTAGTATCCGAAATTTTGCTCTAGCATCACACGTTTCGTCTTTAGCATTCTTTGTGACTAACCTAGTGTGTAGGGGATGTTTCTATCGCCTCAGATGGTCCTTGTAGCATTCCAGTTGATCATACCTGGGGAAACGATTTCCTAGGATCTTCATCAAATCCTTACTATTTCAGCATGCATTTTAAAAATGACTCTCTTCGAAAACTGGCAAGCCAAATCCAATAGATTTTTACTCAGAGACCTCATGTAAAGATTGTTGGTTTTTCTTACAGAATAAAAGATCTCAGCAAAACCTTGTACAAATCTATTGCAAACACCGTCATCTTCATTTTTATTTCGAACGAGAAACAGGAAAACTTTTCAAAGATGTTTTGATAAGTACTCGCCGCTAGGAATCTATATCTGCGAGGAGAACCTTGTTTGTGGTTTCGAAGATGTTAGCGAAAAGATAATTCTTCACAGTTGTACGTAACTCCCTTCGAAGAAGAATTTTTCCTTTGCAACCCTTTCTCTTAAGAAGGAGAATCTCTTTGATGACGATGACGATTCTTTTTCTCGTTCGTTGTAGTGATTCCCAACATTCCTGTCAATGCTCAATGGAGTCAGAATGGTGCCACTGTCGCCGGAGGAAATGGGCAAGGCAGCAAAATGAATCAATTGTGGGACCCAGCTGGTTTGTACGTCGATGATGATCAAACTATTTATGTCGCTGATAAATTGAATCAACGTATTGTGGCATGGAAAGCTGGTGCATCGAATGGCCAAGTGGTTGCCGGTGGAAACGGGGCTCATCAATTGAATCAATCTTTCGACGTGATTATCGACAAAGAGAGAGATAGCCTCATCATCTCCGATTATACGAATAGAAGAGTAGTCCGATGGCCTTTGCGAAATGGTACTAGTGAAGAAACAATCATTTCGAATACTGATTGCATAGGTTTGGCAATGGACGAGAATGGATCACTTTATGTTGTTGACTTTGGAAAGCATGAAGTGAGACGATATCGAATTGGTGACACTAAAGGGACAGTGGTTGCAGGTGGCAATGGGCAAGGAAATCGTTTAGATCAACTCTCGCGGCCTTGGTATGTATTTGTCGATCGAGATCATTCAGTGTATGTGTCTGATTGGAGCAACCATCGTATCATGAAATGGGAAGAAGGTGCAAAACAAGGCATTGTCGTAGCCGGTGGTCAAGGACAGGGAAATAGTCTTTCACAGTTGTCACAACCTCTAGGAATCAATGTTGATCAATTGGGCACTGTCTATGTGGCTGATTTTCAGAATCATCGAATCATGCGTTGGCCAAAAGGAGCTACACAGGGAAGTGTCATTGTTGGTGGAAATGATTCAGGAGGACAGTCGAATCAATTGAATTATCCCTACGATTTATCATTCGATCGACGTGGCAATCTGTATGTCGTTGATTATGGGAATCATCGTGTTCAACGATTTTCTCTCGAATGAACTCATTGCGATGATTAAATTTTTTTGTTCTTTCTCTTTGAAATAAATTCCAGTGAGTAAAATTGATTTATTGGTTATTCTATTCGCGCGCGCGCGATCACGAACATCCTGATAGAGTCTTGGCGAACGGTAAAAGTTCATGTATGCATCGGACAGACTCATATCATTCATACCTTTCCCGAAAATGTGTCAATAGATCAGCGGGCATGGTCGTATGCTATGAACGCCACGATGTTGCTGATTTTTGGGGTGTGGGTGTGGGTGTGGGTGCGAGCATTGATCTTTGTTTAACCCACACCCACACCTAAAAATATATTGGTAGTATTTTAAAAATAATGAGTATACATGTTGATCAATATGGCTCAGTGTACATTTGACGGTTGTGACAGTTTGGTAGTGTTCTATGTCTACCTTTGATTGTGATCACTTTCTCGATGTATACTATCATTTTTAACAATATCATGAAATATATAGACAAATAATGATTGCCAGTATGCATAGGTCTACATAGATTTGAACAAAAAAACTCGCTTGAAAATAAATATTGATAGATGTGTTTATTCCTTATTCTTTCAATAAATACAATAAATATAAGAATGGCAAAGAATAAGCATGTGGAACGCTATTTTACTCAGTCTGTTTTGGATAATAAAATTTGTCTTCCATCTTGCTGAGAAAATTATCAACCAAAAATCATCAAAAAAGATTGTGCTTTTGTTTTTATTACTAGTTCGTAAAGAAAAAAATTGTATTTTCGATTACATTAGCAAACATAAATTAAATTTCAGAAGTATTTATTATAATTAGTCATTCATTATCGTGCTATATTTGTCAAACTTCAAACAATAAAAAGTATATCAATGCTTGGTGCTGAAATAGAGTTAGAGCCGAACATGAGTGGGCTTGTCCATCACTGGTAGAAAAGGCATTCTCATAGTGAATTATGATATGATGAGCACTTTGCAACGATCTTGAGTTTCGTATTTCATTTGACAATTGTTTGTAAGCAACTATTGATTTAATATTGGTGACTATCAGTCTGTCTCTGTTCACAGGGATCTATTTCTTCCAACTAATCAACATATTGTTTTATTAAATTTACAAAAAGCATATTGAGAATTAATCCTTGTGTAGAATTATAATTGATGTGCTTTCTCGCTTAAACAAGAGCTCACTAATGAAAAGTGTTCTCACGTGTCTTTCATAAAACATATTTCATCGTGCCGGTGTATGACGTCAGCAAAAGATAAATGACATTTATATTGCCATCGATCATTCAAAATAATTTCAATGGATATAAATTACTTAAGACCTATATACGACACAGTTATCAGCTAAAACACTTGTTTATGAATAAGAATACCAGGAAGTCAAGACACATATTGAGGCATGCAAGTTTACAAACACATGACAAAAATGTTTGTCTATGGTATAGCTTCGCATGCTTTCTTAATTAAATATCGTATATTGAAGTGAATGAATATCATTTGTAGAAAAATCAGATGCAGGAAAATACGCTCGAGGATCAGACGCAACCGTCGACTCTTTCGACAGATACCAAAAAGAGGTTCGTATCAGTAAATACTATCCATTTCAATGAACAATGCAGTCGGTGGTAAGTTGAATAACTTTGGATAGGAAGCAGCTAGATATCTGCGGTTTTCCTCATTAGAAAGATTATGAATTTTATATAAATTTTCGAAAATTTCATTTGTCGTCAATTTGACCAATTATGTGAGCTTTTGCTTGATATTTTGGACATTGCCTAGCAAAAGAATTTCCGGATGGATTTTAAATTTTAATATGACCATTGGATAGAAAAAAAAATGTTCTCTATCAATCTGCACAAGACCCAGCTCTGTAGCTTGATCTGTTCAGAAGCTAGGAGCATTTTCCAGAGAGCCGCAATTTTGGTCAGCTGACCTTCGATCAGTTCAAAGGACCTTAAAACATAGGTAATCGACCATGCTGAGTTGAGTGGTAATGTTGACTTGCCGTTTCGAAGCGAATTAATTCGATAAATTAAAATTTTTTGAAATATCAACTCAATGCACCGTATGGAGCTACATAGCGTCTGAGTATTAAAATTTCAAAAAATTTCAATTTAGCGAATTAATTAGCTTTGAAACGGGAAAATAAACATCACTACTCAATTCAGCATGGTCGACTACCTATGTTTCAAGGTTCTTTGAACGGATCCAAAGTCAGCTGGCCAAAATCGGCACTCTCAGAAAAACGCTCCTAGCTTCCGAATAGGACAAGCTACAGATCCAGGTCTTGTGCAAATCGATAGCGAATAATTTTTTCGCTAGGCGATGCCCAAAATGCCAAGCGAAAACTCTTCTGATTGGTCCATTAACGACGAATGAAATTTTCGAAAATTTATATAAAATTCATAATCTTTCCAATGACGAAAATCGAAGATCTCTAGCTGCTTCCTATCCGGAGCTAGACAACTTACAATCGAGTGCATTGTTCATTGAAATGGATAGTAACATAGAGAGAAATCACAGATCCACAATGGAGCAGGTTCTCTGAGGATCGTTCATTGCTTACCTGGACTGGCTCATATGCATAAGGGTAAAGTGACAAGGATACAGTTAAAAGAACATAGTTATAAGGGTATTGGCATAGCTCTATGAATAAAAAGATAAATGCATGAGAGCATAGAAATAAGTGTGTGTGCATAAGAGTTTAGCTCTACGGCATTGGCGTAAGTAGATAGCGATAACGATATAGATCATGGCCGAAACAAGTCGAGTTTTTCAAGGATATGGATGTGTTTGTGAGTGTGCTTGAAAACTAGATAATACTCACATCAGCATCCACCAAAGCACAACCCGCATCCAGCATCAGAATATGGTTATAGGGATATAGGTACAAGAGTATTGCGATCAGGATATAGGTATAAGGATAAAGGCAAAATGGTATAGATCTAAGAATATATCATAAGCTTATAGGTATAAGGTAATAAATGTAAGGGTATGGGTCTAAGCAGTTAGTCAGAAAGATATAACTATAAAGGTATAAGTGGAAGTTTAGGTACGAAACCCTTTGTACGAAATCTTCTTCTCGATATGATGAAAAAGTTTCGTAGAAAACCCTACTAGAAAATCTTTTCTTTGGATTTGGTAAAAATGCTTCATATGAAATCTTTATTACAATAGTTCAGAAGAGACTTGATTTGAAACCCTTTTTCTACGAAAGCAAAACAGTTCTTTCGGTGTATTTGCGGGAAGAAAAATTTTAGGTTTCGTAAAAACCTTTTCTTCATAGAGTGAGGTGCACACACCCAGTCTTTATGCTGTTCATATCAGCATTTTTCAATAAGTAACATAAAAGAAAGGAATATAGATCAGAGTATTCACAACTTAGTATGCATGCATGCCTTTTACAAACTGCGCTCGCTTTGCCAATATTAATTTTATGTAAGTTCACTTCTTTCTAATGGCTTCCGGAATATGAAGCGTGAGTAAAAATCAATTATACTGTCAATATTATTAGAATTTCTTCTTTTCTACAAACTCAGTCAGACTCATTGTTTGTCATCAGATTACTCATCTCATTCTCTACAAAAAAAATTATGTTACCGACTTAATAGGAAATAATCTATTCATTTCAAGTATTACAACTGAATAATGCCCTCAAGCATATAATATAAAATACTTTCTTTTTCAAGTGTTTTACATTGTGCTTCATTTCTTTAAATTTGATGTATCCTTGCCGAGAAAAATTCACCGTTCAGAATTTCAATTGATTTCTTACAAGAAAAAAAAAGCTTTCTCAATGATTTTGGTGTCTGAAAACTGAACGAAACGGACATTCTGGCAAGACTACACAAAAATACAAGAACTACAGCACAATGTAAAATAATCTGAAAAAGAAAATATTTCATATTATGCGCTTGATATCACCATTCAGTTACAATGCATGAAAGAAATTGAGTATTTCGTATTGAATCAGTAAAATATACCTTTTGTTTTGTAGAGAATGAAATCAATTATTTTGTGAGCAAAAACGAACCTGATTGAGTCTAAAGAAAAGTTGAAAATACTGGCATTCTATTATACTTACTATTGATTCAACTGTTATATGAAGCTTGACAGAATATTCAATATTAAGCTTGCCATGTTTTCTTTTCTTTTCAGATGAGATAAAAGAACTCTCATAACAATAATGAGAAATAGACTTCTGACGACGAGTATGGTATTACTACAGATCGTCATCAGCGCGATCTTAATACTAACTTATTCAAACACATGACCGCATCACTACAACCTCTATAATACGGATCTAATCAATGATGATTTTTCACGCGATTGCATTTATCATATGATAAATGAGCAACGAAATGTGGATGCTAAAATGTATAAAAGTCAGCAGCTTATTGAGTATTGTATTAGATCATCTTCGAAAGAGAAAAATGACGCCGTTAAAGGGCCAATATCCTCGACACTAATCTTCGATCAGCTGAAAAAAGAAAATGTGACCGTTGAAAATCTGATAAAATGGTCGAGTCCTATTGATCTTATGGAACGTTAAAAAACTTTTTAGAAATGAATAACTCGTTATCCATGGAAAAATATTATAATTGCACCGCGCCATTGTTTGGACCATTATGCCAATACAAATTTGCTTTTAACAGTTCCTTTTCGGACATTGTTGACATAATATTCGATTCGAAATCGATACGGAATTCTCATGGAAAATTCGCCTGTTATGTGCACATGAAATGTGATCGCGGCTTCTCTCCCATATGTCTTGATTGGCGTGAGATATCTGATGGAAAAATCGACTGTCTTGATGGAGGTGAAGACGAAAAATATTGTCTTGAGCTTCACGTGAATCAATGTACCGATAATGAATATCAATGTCGAAATGGAATGTGTATTGATAAAGCATTTTTGGTAGAAGTTGGTATAAACATTGCCGCCAGTTATGAATGTTTAGATCGATCGGACGAGCCTATTGTTTTCAATGCGAGATTTATATGTGCATAG